TCGTGTAGTTTTTATGGAAGTCTCTCCCATAAGTTTCCTCTGTTGAAGGCACTTGACCTCCCAGCAGCAGCTTGGTGCAATCTGAACCTCAGATTTAGGATGAGTTCTGGATCTGACAGGGACACATCAGACTGAATCAGGACTGACTACAAAGCCGGCACCATGGAGAATTGCACCCAAAGCTGTTCAAGCAAATGGTGTCTCTGAATTGGCACCAACCGGCTGCCTTGATGCTGAGGTTTGATCTGTTAGATCCAGAGCAGCCTGGTTTGCACTCATATCACTGTGCTTAAAGAACAGCCACTTAATCTCACTTAGAAATGTTTACTTGCGAGGACCAGATGGCCCAGGGAGTTGGGCTAAACAAAGCATTTTACTTCTAGGTCACGCATTCTAATCCAGTCCAGGTTGGTGATAAATGAACATATTCACCTGATAGACACTTTTGGCTTCGCTTTTGGTGTTTTTCAGGCTGGTTTCCAAGGAGAGATGTCACACCACAAAATATGCCTCTGTGCCCTGCCACAGTTGGTACTGATTTGACTGTCTCTGTGGAGAAGCCAAGGATCAAATGCTCCATGGCGCCAGACTGTTTTCTTTTGCAGGCTGCAGGTAAGGGGAAGTTGCCCTGTGTCTGGCTGTGTCATGCCTGCTCTGTGGATCGACAGGATTTCAGTTTGCAAAGCTGCCAGTCCAAACCCCTCCACCAACGTGAAATTCATTTTTTAAAAAATAGGGAAATGTTTAATTGCAGTTGACGTATAGGCATTCTCTGCTATGAACTTTACACGCAATCACAGATAACAGCATCCAAATTAATGCCTGCTTCCCACTTGTCCTGCTATAAGCAATAAACGTTTGGCAAGCCAGTAAATAACAAAATTCTCATGTGGCCATCTACAGGTCACCAGGATACTTAAGAAGTTTGCGTTAATTATACCATGTTTGCCATCAAAGAGGGGATATTAACCCTTTGGAGCTGTTGCAGGAAAGCAGCGGAGTCATTTGAAAGTAAATAAATGAAATCTTGTCACTAAAAGTGCAACCTTTATGGGAAAAAAAAAAAAAAAGTATGTTTGAGGCAAAATCCTCACTAGACATCATGGAAAATACGGTACATTTTCAGCCTTCCTTTTATTTATTTTGTATTTTGACATCAAACACTCCCTGTAACCTAATCTTCTTGGCTTTTGATGTGGCCGTGGAGACATGACAATTAAGCACGGCTTAAAACAATAATCCCAACAACAGGAACCAAAGGCAAGTAATGTCAGGGTTCCCCCCTCACAAAAAGCCTGTCCCCCAGTGTTTGGTGGCAGTGAAAGGACTATAAATCCCAATTTGTTGCCTTGATATCTGCTCTGCGCTTACACATTATGTTGAACTTTACACACTTGCTCCATTTCCATTCCCTGCTGTTTGTTTTTCTTCTGCTATCCAAAATGTCTGGAGACAAGCACGATACACACGTTGCAGAGAGATGGTTTGATCTTTCACAGATTAGTGCCACCCGACAAACAGGGGATTATTTGTTATCTGTATTGCAGGAATCGCTGAAGACCCCACTCGGATGAGGCACGTTCCTCGGGGCGGGGGGCTGCAGCACCCCTCCTGGCAAGCTGCTGGGTTCTGGCCCCGATTCTTCGAGCAGATCGGACGGACCCACCAAAATGCCTGTACAGAGGCAACAGCAAGGTAAACCCTCATCAAAGCCAGAACGGGTGTGTGATGTGCAATCAAAGCAAAGAGTTTGATTACTCCAAATTATTTTAAAGTGACGTTCTTAGTTCTCCTGTTCTGTCTTCGTCCCTGCTATTCAAACATGGAAGGAGAATGGATGAGTTTAGTTATAAACCCATTTTAAACCTGTCTGAAAACTAACATGTTTCTTTTTAAATGAAGCTTGCATGGTATGCTATAAACTGCTTTTTTTTTTTTTCTTTTTTTAATGAGTGTTTGCACTAAGTCTTGCTAAACAAGTTAGAGAGATGATTAACTTGTCTGAAATGACACGGGAAGGCCTCGTCCTGGTTCCGTGTGCTTTCTTCAGCACATCCAGGGCTGCTGCGACTCCTCGTTCACGAGCAAGGCTTGCAAACAGTGCTGAGGAGGAGGCTGCACAGTTAACAAGAAGCAGTGATAGAAAGGGCTGGAATTTGCACACACATGGTGAAAAAAAGGAACTCGGGTTATTTTTTTCTTAATGACTAAGGAGTTATCCCCAAGCTGGTTTCCACAGAAGTGAGACATAACTCCCGGGGGGTCAAAGGAGGAAACCCAAAGTTCATTAGAAGTTTTCTTGAAAATATTGTTTTAGTAGCAGCAGTACTCATCCCTGCACATGGCAGAGGGACTTTGCAAGACTTCATTTCACTTTCTAAAGCCTCCAAGGAGTTCCTTTCCCTATGTGGGTCAGATTCAACAGCATGATGAAAGTAGCCACAAAGTTTTGGCCATGGGAAAGCTGCCTGGTAAGTACTCTTCTCCATCCTCATGTGCCAGCCCATGTGTGCAGCCCCCTGCACCCACGGGTGCACCCCTTGCTCCCAGGGCAGCACTGAGCAGCTCCAGGCTAGCCGCAGACCCCTTGCTCCCTTTGTGGCACGGATGATGCCAAAAGTAAGAAACAAGTTTCCAGGTTGATGCGATTGCCTGTTACAGCAGTGCAAGAACCTACGGAGAACTTTCCCCAGTCTAATACAGGTCCTGCCTTGAAAACCATTAGGCAGCTGGCTGCTTTTCTGTGTTAACAGTGCTTTTAAAACTTGGTTTTAATCGAAAAGCATTTCTCCAAACACTTAAAAAACCCAACCCAATAAAGCAACAAAAAAACACCCAGAGAAACTGCAGTTCATCATCTGCAATGTGGCTGCTGCCTTAGATTTTAAACTGGTTCAGAAACTTTAGCGCACTTAACTCTGACCTTGTCACCCCAAAACAACACCAGAGAATGAGCTTTTGTACCTGTGCTTTTTATACTAAATCATTCACCAACTATTTTTTTTGTCCTGCTCTGGTTGTTTTTTAAAATACCAATAGACTGCTCTGCATAAAATTTAAGGTAATAATTCTACCGGCAACAGTGATGAGGATAATTTTTCCTCTCCATTAAAAGCAGCCTTTATGACATGAAGCCAGGCACAGGTACTTTCACAAAAAAAAGGTATTTTATTATTCTTAGCAATAGTCACCTTGAAGGAATATGAGGAAAGCATACACTTTTTACAGACAATATATAAACATGTTGTACATAATTAACAATAACTTAGTTCACTAATCCAAAAATAAGCAAAATAAAAATTAAAATAAAAACAGAAAATACTGAAGATTTTTTTTTTTATGCTGATACAAGTACAAAATAATTTAAATTTCGACTGCCGTTGTCTATGCTGCAGTGACTGACAATATATTGCACTTTGTCAACTGTATCAGTAATCCCTGTCTTCCACCCACATCCCTTCCCCACCCTCCTGCCCAAATCCTACAGAAATTTGAGTTGGGTACAAATAATGTACAACTGTACCATTGTGAAAGGTAAAAAGTAAAAAGGACCCAAATTTTACTTCAGTAGATTAAAAATTCTTATGATTTCTCCCAACCAATTTAGTTTCCCATTTATTTCCACTTCATTACAAAGTGCATCTATATGCCTATGCAGACCAGAAAAAGGAGGAAAGCAGGATTTTCATGGCTGCTTGGTTCTTGAGTCATTATCAAATATTTGAATTACATATTTAGAAAAAAATTAATGTACATCCGTTTTTATTTGTTTTGGTGCTTTTTTCTAGAGCAGGACTTTTGCAATAAAGATACAATTGCCTGGATCAAAAAAAAAAAAAAAAAAAACAAACAACAAACCAAACCCCAACAACAAAGTTAAAAATAAAATTTAAAAAAAAAAAAAAAGCTTGTCACAGAGTTAAGCTTATGTGGTTTACATTATCAAACCCCTCTGTTCATTGGGGCATTTTCATCAGTATAGCTAAATATGTACATTGTATGTTATACTGGAGCTTGTGTTCACAAGAGGCGTCGGATCATAACAATCAATAGGATACACTTCACATTGGCAATAGCTTTGTTTTCGGTCATTTACGTACAATATGGTTTAATAATGGAATTTAATTTTTTCCTTTTTTTTTTGTATTTTTTGAGTTTTTTTTCATATAAAATACGTTATGGAAATTGGACGTTCCTCTTGGAATGATGCTTTCCCTCACCTCATCAGCTGTCGCTGCACCTCGGATTGGACAGATGCGTGAAGCTCAAACTGATTGTCTCTCTCTCCCCCTCTCCAGTGATCTCAACCTCATTTCTGCCCTTCCTCCCTCCCTGTGAAGTCCACCGGGGCCTGGATGCCTGAGACAGCACACGCGCTGGTGGGCTGCGTGGCGACGTGGTGGTGGCCACACTGCCCCAAGTTTACCCAAGCAGCTAATCTGCATTTTTAAGCAACAGCTGCCAACACAACAGAACAAAATGCTTCAACCTCTAAAGTCTGCGACTTGGATGTTTTTATGCCCTGTGACGGTTTTCGCTGTGCTAGAAGTTAGCTGTCACACAGGTTGGTAGATGCCTGTATCTCACCCCTTTCCTGGAGCAGGATTGCCTTCCTGAGAGTTTTTTCCCAACACTTTGTCTGAAGGAGCTGTTTTGGGGAATACTACAGTAGTTGGGAGGGGGCCTGTGTTTAGTTTGTTTGGTTTTAACAAATCTTTCATACTGGGGAAACGAATGAAGAAATTGTGTCAAAACAATCGCCATCCTGGGCACATAAAAATCCCATATTATGGCTACATGTTTGTTTTGTTCCCTTCCCCCCCCCCTTTCCCAGTAGATATTTTGATTTGGAAGATAGATGGAGCTAAACTAAGGGGGCTGCTGAATGTGTTCTCCCCTCTCCCCCTTGTTTTGAAGGCAGGTTTTCTCCTAGGGTAGCCCATTGCAAACAACAGCACAAAAACATGCAATCAGAGGGGTTGAGGCTTTCTGGGAAAACAAGAGCAAAATAAATATGACTTTGTGTCTGATTTCATTTTAAAAATTATGTTTTTATAAAGATGTCCTTTTCTTTTTTCTTTTTCTTTTTTTTTTCTTTTTTTTCTTTTTTCTCCCATCCCAAACAAAGTCTGTGATAGAAATCCAGCATGTCTGGCTTCCAGGGAGCCGATTACATCCTGGGAGGCTGCTTATCTCTTTACAATTTTCACAGTAATAAGAAAGAGAGAAAGGAAAGCCAGTTCCAAGTATTTTCCTTCAGCTTCTGCCACCTTTTGCTTTCTGCTGGATCATTAAGTCTCGAACAGGTGAGTTCTTTTTCCTTATACCTGAGGGGGCAAAGTGCATTACAGGCACCACTACACGTTTTTGCAGAAGACCCATCATTTGCAAGGTTTTAGTCCAGCATTAAGAGTTAAACCACTTGGGAGCAAAGATCCCCTTTTGCCGTCCCTACATTCTCCTCTTGGCAGAACCTTTTCTTACTTGTTGTCATTTTAGGCAAAGCCCCATGTTCTTAATCTCTGGGTGGGTCTCTTGGTCATCAGGTTTTATCCCATGGCTGTAACCATGCTGGATGGGTGTGGATGTCCAAATGAGATGCTGGAAGATGGGTGGATGGGGGTAGGTGTTGGTAGGATGTGTCCAGAGTGGCTGAAAGGTGGCAAATGCCCCATTGGTGCCATGTGACTGGCAAGGGCAGCAGCGCTGAAGGGAGACGATTTCTCCTGCATGCACTTGGACAGTTCCTCAAAACACTCGGAGCCTTTCTTGCTTTTCTTTGATTTGTTGGACATTTTCCTATTCCTGGTCTGAATTCCTTCCTTTTTCATAGTCAGAGGCCTGTTCACCTGCAAGAAATGAGAAAATCAGGCTCATGCAGACAAAATGACCTTATTGTGCAAAAATGAAAATATTTGGACAGCCCCCATGTGTTTTTCCTGGATGGAGACCTTTTTCTGGCCAAAAAAAAAAATGGTGTTTCTTTCTGCAGAACTTGTTTATATTGATTTGTTTAATAAAACCACACACACAAAAACCCCTTAGACATGAAAAACAAATTGAACTGAATTTGGCAGCTGATGACTCTCTTTCCCGTAGGCTTACCCTCAGTCCTTGTTCATTTCCTAATAGAAGAGATCAAACCAGGAGGCACATGTTGACCCAAATTCACTCCTAAGACATGAGCAATCTTGTACCAGTAACCTCTGTTACTTACAGTTTAAGTAACATTCCAACATGTCAAATGGTTCTTGCTTAGTACTAAGTAATTTTTAATTATAGATAATAAAACAAAGCCTTAAATATATATATGGGTTTTTCTAAAAAATTAAAATTAATATGCCCCACCGGCACTAATTTTTGCACAAAGCCATTCCAAACATCTTCTGTGTTTCTGAAGGGAACATACTTAGTTAAAAAACAGACTTAGTTAAAACCAAGTGTGGTAGCTCTATTTTGCCTGATTTGCCCAAGCGTTAGAAGCCAAGCTAATACATGGTAATGTCACTGAACTTAGCATCACTATGCTGACAAAGAATGGCTGTCTCTTCCCAGGGGAACCTTAGAGACGGGGAAGGAATAAAACAACCACCAAAACCCTGAAACCAATAAAAGCCTAGTGTACACCATGCAGTTAAGACATCAATCCCAGCTACCCAAGCAGAGACACATAAGATGAGTAAATACTCACATTGTGCAATTTATAGTAGAGTCCGCAGGCATTACAAACTGGGTCCCCGTTTGCATTTCGTCGCCATAAGGTTGTGGTGGTGGTCTGACAGTTGGCACAACAAGTCCCTGCTCTCCTAGCCGCTGACTAACCAGAAGAAAAAGAAATTTACAAATGTATCAGCAGGAGGAGGGAGATCATGAGAAAGGTCAAGTTGGACTCGGTATTTACGCTGGGTAGAACTAGTTACTAGGATTTTACAGAGCGTCAGGGCTGAAGGAAAGCTCCTGTCAGTTTTACATTTTGTGGCCATTAGGGTTTTGTTTAAATTCACGTATTCTCCAATGCAAGCTGCAGTGTCAAGCCTTGTGGCATCATGTGTGCAGACGGCAAGGATGCATCTCTAACTCCACAAACAAAAATTGTAAAAGGGGAAACACATCACCTCATTTGTTCAGGTTTTCCCTTCAGGGGATTCTAGAATGCATCGTGAAAATCCTTTTTTTTTTTTTTTTTAAATGACCGATTTAGTTTGTGCCAATATTGGGAGGGGTTTTGAAAAGATGGAATCATCTTAAAGAATGTGATTTTTACCCCTACTCTGGCCCTTTAAAGATGGACACAAAAGAAAACCAACCGCATTACTTAACTGGGTGCAGTATTTATCAGAGCCATCACTGAAAATTCAGTTTCCATTTACAAGTGAAAGGGAGAAAACAAAACCGGCTCCAACTTTCTTTAAATATTTAGCAAACCAAATTTCATGCCTCGCAGCAACGATCTGCTGACCCTCTGCTGCCTCTGTCCCTACTCAGTTCCTTGGCTGACAAGCCCTCAAACAACCGTCTTAAAAGATTTTTAAAATAACAAAATAAAAAAAATCCACCACCCTTTCCTAGAACAATTGTTCTGCTGAAACCAAGGTGGGGGGAAAAGAAAAATGTCCAAACATTCACCCCACCTCCCAAAACAAGAACAGGAAAAGTAGAACAGCAGGCAGCCAGTAATTTGTGGATGGGCCCTTGCCTAGGAGACCCCACAATAATACGTTCTTTGTGCAAGCATGGTATCATATAAAGCGTTTACGGACGGACTAATTGCACGCCATATTTTGGGAAATAATTTTGTATTAGAAAGCTTCAGCCATGCCTCTGGAAGCAGTCAAAATACAGTCCATTTTGTGCAATTGGATTAATACTGAGGACTTGATATTTTCTTTTCTTAAATTAGCCAAGTTTACTTTCTAATGCGTATCAATGGTGGCGATTTCCCCAGGGCCTGGACTTTTTTGCAATTAGGCATAGGGTGTAGGAGCACTGCAGCTCAGGTTAACGTGAGCAGAGAGCAGGCTCCAGAGCAGTGGGGTTCCCAGACCCAGCTCTGTGCGCTCCCCTGCCCGCCGGCGCCGCACGAAGCACAGGCCGACCCAGCTCCCAAGGAAGAGGCACTGGGTTCTGCTCTCACTCCCTCCTGACTTACACCATGGCCCTCTAACTCTCCCAAAGCCCGTGGATGGCTCAGCGGCTTAAAGCAAGAATCAAGCCCTTGGAGACTCATACATTTCAGTCCCTTACTTGCCAGTGAGAACAGGCCAAAGGCAGAAAGAGGGGGTAACCCCCTACTGCAAGTACACTCATGCAACCCAAACACAATTAATGCCAGACGTCCAAACACTGACATTACTAATACAATTGCTTTACTATTGCGTGTCAAATGAACAAATTCCCAAAGATGGACATCTCCTCTCCCCTACAAACAAGCAAACTACAGCGGAAAAAGGGGCAATAAACAAAGCTGTAAATCAATTAAAACAAAACATTAAAACAACTACGCTAGTGCTCCCCAAACCCCTTGCAGTGAGCAGAGTATCCCTCCCAACACACTGGAAGGTGGAGACCTATGTTTGCATATTTGAGATGGCTTACTGATACTCAACTATGCTGCTTAACTCTATGGCCTGTTCCATTCAGACTGAAAGCACTTGAGCCTGAAAGACGATAATGTTACACTGTTGTCTTAACATTTTTCTATATGTCAGTCACTTTAGAAGGCAAGTCATTAAGAAGCTTGCATAGTTGAAATTCTGACTCACGACAGAAATCTTCTGTATCCTATCCCAGTGTTACAGCAGTAATGCCAATTTTCTGCTCTCCAAACCTCATTGAAACATGCCCACGAATAGCTAAGAGACTTGGGCACCATAAATCACAAAGCTCAAAAAAAAAATATTATATTTATTATTCTTAGCATTTTACGCATTATTTGTGGAGTAGAGTGTATTAGAAATTTCAAAACAGCAAGCATGACTGGCAAGGCTTGCCTATAGAAACTCTCTAAAGCTTTTAGAGTCAGGAAACAGATACACAAAGTTTCCTTATCTTTAACGTACAGATATCCGGATAGGAAACTACTACCAGGAGCTTAGAAAGGACATTTTTTTTAAATCACTCAAATGAAAATACAAAGTATAGGTGACTCCATGGAAAAATAATAGGATTTTTTTTTTTTTTAAAACAGTAGGGGATTGTCTGGGGAGGGAACCAATATTAGTATTGCCAGCGAATATAAGAGTGAAAATTACTTCATGGCTTTTATACAAATAATTATTAAGTGGGGAGCAGTAGCTTTGACTCATCTGATTTGTTTTGCTTTTTGGAGCTGGAACTTTTTTTTTTTGTACACGGTGGAGGACATTCAGGCTCATAACCCTTTCGCTCCCAGTATGGGGCCAAAACGTCCCAAGAGGCCAAATAAATGAGGAATTAAATTAAAAGCTGTCATCCGAGGATAAACGGGGAGCCGGACACCCGATACCCCGCGCACTGTGAGCGGCAGGAGGCTGGGGCAGAGGCACGCTC